TTCATAATTAATCCATTCCAGAGTGTGTGACTATTATTGAAATTGACGATTTGTGAATCCATTTTCCCCATAAGAAATAATGCAAATCCAATTAATTCGTTCCAGACACCCAGAAGTATCAACAAAAAAAAATTTTTTTTACCTTATAGATAGACTTACATGCACAAAAGAATGAACATTCAACATGACAGTTACCTTTATTGAAGGCTGTTGTTGATGAATGGAAGACAGGGAGGAGAGAGGGAAGAGAGGTTATTGTTTGGGAGGGGAATCCCCCTCCATAAGGACTCAAGGTCACTTCAGGGGTCACTTCCCTAGCCACTTCCCTAGCTTAAATATAGATTTACATGCAGAAAAGAATGCGAAATAAATGTAAAGCACTAATAAAATGTATAAATGAACATTTAACATCACACTTACCTTTAATGAAGACTCTTGGTGTATGGCAGACGAGGCAGAGGGAGGAAGGCGAGTTTATTGTTGGAGAATATGACACTAATATCAACTCTACAGCTTAAATAACTATCACAATTCAACTAATATGACATAAAAAAAACAATATTAATAACATAGAAATATGGAATATACTCCAGAATGTATAAAATAAGTCATTATGAATGTCACAAGAGGTGTTGTATTGATGCTGTTGTTGGGTGTATAAGGGCCACTGTGAGCATAAGCCATGCATAATGTTGGTGAAGCAGCAGCTGAGGTGGCGGTGTTTTCTGTAGCCATATATAACTCCAACAACATTGGAGGGGTCGGAAGAAATGCTGAATCACTGAAGAAGGCTCCCTCTACCACCATCACAACCACTACCACCCTCTACCACTATCACTTCCACCCTCTATCACTATCACAACTGTTACCACCATCACTACCACTATCACAACCACTACCACCCTCTACCACCATCACTGCCACCCTCGACCACCATCACTATCACCCTCTACCACTATCACAACAGCTACCACTACCACCACCACTTTCATATTTTTCTACAAACTTTTTCTTAAATTGTGTGTTTCTCATATTCTTTACCAAAGGACTGGCACTAGAAGCTTTCTTTGGAGCCATGGTGACTTATTTAGCAGTTGCAAGCACTAAAGCGAATGGAATATTATGAAAAGTATCGTATGAACTCATGGGATCATCCTCACTCACTGATAAACAATGGCACACTGGCTGGGAATGGAGTGTGAGGCAGCTTGGGGCTGTGTGTATGCGTCCCAGACAAACGACTATTTGCGAGTCAAACGACGATTCGCGAGTCAATGTTTTGACGAAAAAACATTATGATTTCCGAAAATTACGACTTTCGAGCCTTACAATTATCGAGGGTCCACTGTACATGTATTTATAAATAAAAAATATTGTATAAAAACTGTTTATATAAAGTGTATATGTACTTACACACATGGAGCAGAGATAGTGGGGGATGTTGAGAGTGGGGGATGTTGAGGGTGGGGGATGTTGAGGGTGCGGCGTATGATGTATTGCCTGGTTAAGCCCATGGAAATCATCGCCTTTTTCTTCTCAGCACTGTCCTTTGCACTTACTTTCTTAGAACCCATCGTTTGAAAAAAGAAATTTGGCCAAATGACTGTTAAAAAAAAAAAAAAAAAATGCAAACAACCATGAGAGAACTGCTCCCACAGAGGTGTAAACATGTGTACTGCTTACCAGATGTTTTGCCATCAGCTGTGCCAATTAGTGGCAGCATTCTGAATTATTATTACATATGTATTATGTATTATTCTTATTAACCCCTTGACTGTCACAACCCCAAATCCTGAGGCGACTCCTTTTGTCGCAAAAATTAAAAAAAAAATTCTCATGAAATGATAATCTTTTCCCGATGATAATGACACCAAAAGTATGAAATTTGATAGAAAACTGACAGAATTACGCTCTTGTGAAGTTAGCGACCTCAGCGATATTAACGAATCGGCGATTTCCCCCACTTTGAGCCCTATTTTCGGCTAATTCCATTGTTCCAGTCGACGAAACTCAACTATTTCTTTAGAACTCCATGTGTTCTATCGATCGAGTACAAGAAATCGCCCATTTACCGATTTCAACTACCCAATAAAGTGGTCAGAAATTGGCAATTTGGCCAATTTCACGAAAATTAAAAAATATGACAATTTCAAAATAGGGTACAGAATGAACAATGCAGACATTCCTGGCTCTAAAATAACATTTTCTTTGTTCATCAGTCATGTCTCCAGGCCCCTCTGATATTACTCTTGCTTTTTATTTTGAATTTTTATTCAAACAAAAAATAGATGATTTACTGTTATGAAGACTACTGCAATATTGTAATAATTGTATAAATAATGTCATTTACTGGATAATGACATTTGTTTACTTTTGAACATTGGCAAAAATCAAACATTTCCCCTACTTTGAGCTCCATTTCAAGGTTCTTTTCATAAAACCAATCTCCAGGTAATCAAAATCACTTCTATTTCTATAATATGTTTTCTATTCTATCAAATGAGACCAAGAAAACGAGAATACAACCATAAATACTATACGAAAATAGACCACAAAGTCGGCGTTTTAATTAAAAAAAAAAAAAGTCAGAATTTTTTTTTCTCATTATGCACTATGTGCTGCAGGATTTTTTTTATATGGTGCACACTGACCACACAGATCCATTCTCTCACATGTGGGCCTACCAGCTTTCTCCTGCTTGATTTGAAGCCGCTAGAATTTATGAGTATATATACGTCAAACACGATGGCTCATAAGACGTATATATAAGACCGAAACAGTCAAAGGGTTAATTTAGGGAACTGAAGCTCTATCATTATGATTATTATTACTATTATTAATTTAGGGAACTGGAACACAGATCCAATTCCCTATATCAAGAGCCCCTCACCAGCATCAAGGAACCTTGACACTGGTGAGGGGCTCTTGATCTAGGGAATTGGATCTGTGCTCTAGTTACCTAAATTAATAATAATAATACTAATAATAATTATTACTATTATTATAATAACGAATGCCACAAACTCAGTGCACTGTTTACCTCACTGTGGGAGCAGTTCTCTCATGCTTTGCTTACATTTTTGACAGTCATCTGGCCAAACTTTGTTTTTCTAAGCATGGGTTCTAAGAAAGTATAAGTGTAAAGGACAGTGCTGAGAAGAAAGAGAAAATGATTTCCATGGAATTAAAGCATGAAATAATAGAAAAACAAGTGAGGTGTCCAGGTTTTGGGTTGAGGGGGAAGGGGGGAGCTGGCTCGTAACTCAGAGCAAAAAATCAACCCAGGGACAGCTCGTACCTCAAAAAAAACTCGTACGTTGGGACACTTGTAAGTCAAGGTTCCACTGTATTTAAAAATATACTAAAAACATCATAAACGGTGCAAAGGCGACATTAAAACAATATCAAAGATGGCTGAAAAACCTGCTAGCATTATAATATGCTCCTCACATAGCAACAAATTCGTTTACCAACATTGTCTTAGGAATGAAACTCCGTCGTTATGTGAGGAGAGGCTGTATACAATATTACTTTCACTCTCAACATAACAGACCTTTATACAGTGACAAAAAAATACAAAACCAAACCCTGAGTCAATCAATTTGAAAAAAAAAAATTAGATAAAAAATAAAATAAAGTCCACAGGTTACAGAAATGTCCATTAGTGTTGCTAGCATGGCAAAAAACCTCTTCATTATCCAACACAATTTCCAGTACCAGCCACTGGCTCTTCCCTATTAGTCCGTTATATCTATGGTTTACTATACTGTAGTCCACCCACCCATTACTGCAACCAGAAAATTCAGGAAGAGTGAAAGAAAAACTACTGTATTAGTGACCAAAAGATTTTGTTTTAATGGAAAATGCAGTCACAAAAATTAATATAAATACTGATGCAGACGATACAAAGATCTAATGCAAGATAAGCAATCAAAATTAGTGTACCCCTACAACAGAACCAATGGAGTTATAGATGGTTGATTAAATTTAATATGGGCAAGTGGCATGCAACAGAAATGGGAGAAAGTGAGAAAAAAAAAGTAACAAAAAAATGGATTACTTGATGAAACAATAAAGGCACCAGACAAAGAGAAGAGCCTAGGAGTTGTCATTTGACAAAAAATTATTCCAATTTTATTTAAATACTGAAGAAAGATTTCCTGTATGACACTGCCCAACTTTAAATTAGCCTTTTCATAGATAGATGGGGAAATGCTATATAAAAAAATTTCACAACACAGGTTAAATTAGCTCAGCAAGGCTCAACAAGAATACCAACTGTAATCTAAGGAAGAAAAGCAATGGTTTACATGAAGTAGCAGAGTGTAACCAATTAAAATTTTTTAAAAAGGACATGAAAGTAAATACTGAAGACAGAACTTCATGAGAATAGCTCTGCAACTGCAAATAGGTAATTATACACACATCCCCAATCATACACAAGCAAGCAAACCAAGTCACAAATGGATAAAAGTTATAAAAAAAAAAAGAACTGGGAAAAAGACAAAAAAGAGCAGTTTATTGTAATTCTAGAAGCCTGGCTGGCAGACACCACAATACTGCAAGCAAGTCAGGGAGCAGTAACCTAGCTGTGACTAACAGGTATTTAAATGTAACATGAACATTTCAAAGTTGTTAAATCAACACACTCAGAATCACAGATATATAAGTAGAATATCATTACAGTACCACCAAAATAAGGCTAAATAGTTCTATGATCATTAGTCTCATGACTCATTCTCAGATCAGGCCTTCAAAATTGGAAAGAAAATATGGTATTACAGAAACAAGAACAGCATAAGTAGTTATAGCAACACCAGAAAACAAAGCTAACTAAAAAATAATTTCTAGCAACTTTTATATACACAAGGATACTGTACGAATACACCCATCATAGACTCCCTGAACTTCTTTGATTTCCCCTATGGCTGAAAAAATTTTTCAATGTGTATTTTGCATCTAGAAGCTTTCAAATTACTTAAGGCCAACATAAAGCTCACCTGCACTTATCTCCATAGGCACATGTTCCCTTTAAGTAATACCGGCAGAACATAGATGGCTGAGCAACAGCAGGGTCATGTGAAAAACGACACTGGTCTCCTTTATTGCACACATTATTTATGAAGTATCTGTAGAGTGTACAAGAAAGGAATTACAAAATTACTTTAGGTCTTATTTATTTTAGTACAGTATACACAAAAATTATTAAAAGAACAACAATTCATGCTTAACCAAAATCACCACAGCTATACAATTTTTTTTCTGCAAGACAAGCCCCGTGGCCTGGTGGCTAAAGCTCCCGCTTCACACATGGAGGGCCCGGATTCGATTCCCGGCAGGTGGAAACATTTCGACATGTTTCCTTACACCTGTTGTCCTGTTCACCTAGCAGCAAATGGGTACCTGGGTGTTAGTCGACCGGTGTGGGTCACATCCTGGGGTACAAGATTAAGGACCCCAATGGAAGTAAGTTAGACAGTCCTCGATGACCCACTGACTTTCTTGGGTTATCCTGGATGGCTAACCCTCAGGGGCTAAAAATCTGGTCGAAATCTTATCTTATCTCTTATCTCCTACCCAAATAGAAAGGACTGTAATTAAGCATAGACATTACATACTAAACTACATAGTTCTAACCAAAACAATGAATGGTACAAATCAATAAGTAGTATCACTGAAGTGCATGCAGCACTTTACACAGTAGCCCGGAACCTAACCTGCTTATACAGCATGTTAGGTTCTGGGCTACTGTGTAAGTGAAACACGGCCTTTTTTTCACTTTCAAATGCATATAAAAGTCTGATAACATGTTTACACTATCATATTAACCTTTAAACTGTCCAAACGTAGATCTACGTTCGCACGCGTAGCGCTCCGAACGTAGATCTATGTTCGATTTTACATTATGTAAAAAAATAAAAACATAGCTCTATGTTTGGAGCGCTACGTGCACAAATGTAGATCTACATTTGGACAGCTTAAAGGTTAAGTGAGCAACAGAGATAGGCCTAAAAAATGCATATACAGTACACACATTACGTACTTACCTTAAAATAATTTCTTCTTTAGCTTATAGTGAGTGGTGAATACATTATAGGAAGTCTGAATAAATAAAGAATGGGTATAATGCTGTAAAGCGAAACACTAAAGCGGGGCCCGCCTGTCCTTCAGTTAACTTGAAAAATGAGTTAGACAATTATTATACAGTGGAACCCCAGTTTTCGTCTGGTCCGGTTATCGTATAATTCAGTTGTCGACCACTTTTGGAAAAATTTTCCCCATTTTTGTACATTCGCTTGGAAATCATCCATACCAGACGTGTCCACTTGCCCGCAGGATGTGGCCGCTCATACGTTCATGATTCAGTCTGCCTTGTTACTAGTAGAGGGTGGTAGTGATGATGGTAGAGATAACCTCTCCCCTTCTCGCCATCTTCCATACGCCAACAAGAGTCTTCAATAAAGGTAAAAGTGATTTAAATGTTCATTTACCCATTTCATTAGTACAGTGGACCCCGGGTTAACGATATTTTTTCACTCCAGAAGTATGTTCAGGTGCCAGTACTGACTGAATTTGTTCCCATAAGGAATATTGTGAAGTAGATTAGTCCATTTCAGACCCCCAAACATACACATACAAACGCACTTACATAAATACACTTACATAATTGGTCGCATTCGGAGGTGATTGTTATGCGGGGGTCCACTGCACTTTATATTTATTTCTCATTGTTTTCTGCATGTAAAACTATAGTTACTCTCAATAAAATGCATTTTTTGTTAATATTTTTTGGGTGTCTGGAACGGATTAATTGGATTTACATTATTTCTCAGGGGATATATACTTCAGTTTTCATACAAATCGGTTTTCGGCCGACCTTCTGTAACAGATTAAAGATGAAAACCAGGGTTCCACTGTATTTAAAAACAAGTGCCTAACCCATTTGGGTCAGACACAGATGAACAGGCTCCATATATACACAGTGCTGGGTGACTAAGTAAAATCTACCTAGCATGGGACAGCAGGTCAACTGCTCCTCTATTATGTTCATCTACAATTCAAGTATGCACAAGTTTCACAGAAAGGTAAGCTTATGAAAAACACTATCCTGGGTTAGTAACCCAGGATAAGCCAAGAAATCCAAGCAATTACATATATGCATTAGGTCTTCTGGTCCACTTACCTGAGATGAAACAACAGATGTCCCACTCCCAGGTATATATAGTGTCTATTTAACCCTTTCGGGGTTTCGGACGTACTAGTACGGCTTACGAGCAGGGGTTTTTGACGTACTAGTACGCATAAATTCTAGCACCCTCAAATCTAGTGAGAGAAAGCTTGTAGGCCTACATATGAAAGAAAGGGTCTATGTGGTCAGTGTGCGCAGTATAAAAAAATCCTGCAGCACACAGTGCGTAATGAGAAAAAAAAAAACTTCGACCGTGTCTTTGGATTAAAACAGCGACTTTGCACTGTATTTTCCTATGGTATTTATTGTGGTATTCTAGTTTTCCTGGTCTCATTTTATAGAATGGAAGGCACATTACAGAAATTGAGATGATTTTGACTGATTTTAAAATGAAAAGTACCTTGAAATTGAGCTCAAAAGTAGCAGAAATGTCGAATTTTACCAAAGATCAAAAGTAAACAAATCATGCCAAGCGTCCAATACACATCAAATGGTGAGTCTAATATTCTTTCACAAGTTCGCTGATATTATTTATACCATTTCTACACTAATGCAGTAGTCTGCATAACAGTAAATATTCTATTTTTTTGTGAGAATAAAAATTCAAAGTGGAAAGCAAAAGAATGTAAGAGGGGCCTGGGGACGTGACTAATGAACAGAGGAAATGTTATTTTAGTACCAGGAAGTCTTTCTTGTTTATTCTGGACTATTTGAAAATTGGCATCTTTTGAAAATTGTGTGAAATTGGCAAAATTGCTAAATTCTGACCACTGTATTGGATAGTTGAAATCGGTAAATAGGTGGTTTCTTGTACTCATTCGACAGAAAAAAATGGAGTTCTAGCGAAATAGTTATGATTTTTGTCGACTAGTACAGTGGAATTGGCCGAAAATAGGGCTCAAAGTGGGCAAAATAGCCGATGCGTAAACGTCATCGAGACCGCTAACTTCATGAGAGCATATTTCCCTAAGTTTTCCATCAAATTTCATACTTTTGGTGTCATTATGATCGGGAAAAGATTCTCTATCTTTTCATAAGAAAAAATAATTTTTTTTTTTTTTGAAATTTGGCCAACCCTGAGAACAAGTCTCTGAGAGGACCTGCTGACCCCCAAAGGGTTAATGGGAGGTGAAATGGGACTACAAACTTAATGATATTTGAACCTAAATTCTTTTAGTTGCAAGCCAAACACTTTACCACTGAGCTACAAGATTAAGTTAAATTATAAATAAATGATTATAGTGCCAAAGTATATATGAGATTTTTTACCAGATTGTTTTCAAATCTTTAACCACCAATAATTTAATTAAACTACATTTTGTATTGCAATTCTGTTAAAAATAAGAAAAAGTTTTGGAGCGAGATTAATAAGTTGAGGAAACCTAGGGAGTTAGTTAGTTTAATATGTTTATTATGCACCCCATACCCATCCTGTGGGCGGTAGTCAAAAGATTACAAAGGTACATAATGGGTCCAGGGACTGGACCCCAAAGTTATGATAGCTGAAGCTGTTGTACAGCCACATCAGGAAGAAAACAACAGTCAAGGACCAGGTAATCAGACTGAGGAAGGGTGATGGGGAATTCACAAGAAACGACCGAGAGGTTTGTCAGGAGCTCAACACAAGATTTAAAGAGGTATTTACAGTGGAAACCAGTAGGACTCCAAGAATTAGAACAGGGGGGCACACCAGCAAGTGCTGGATGAGGTACATATAACCAAGGAGGAGGTGAAGAAGCTGCTATGCGAACTTAACACCTCAAAGGCGGTGGGACCAGACAACATCTCTCCATGGGTCCTTAAAGAGGGAGCAGAAATATTGTGTGAGCCATTAACAAAGATCTTCAACACATCATTTGAAACTGGGCAACTCCCTGAGGTATGGAAAATGGCAAATGTAGTCCCAATTTTTAAAAAGGGAGACAGACATGAGGCACTAAACTACAGACCTGTATCACTAACGTGTATAGTATGCAAGGTCATGGAGAAGATCATCAGGAGGAGAGTGGTGGGGCACCTGGAAAGAAACAAGTGTATAATTGACAACCAGCACGGTTTCAGGGAAGGAAAATCCTGTGTCACAAACCTACTAGAGTTTTATGACAAGGTGACAGAAGTAAGACAAGAGAGAGAGGGGTGGATCGACTGCATATTTTTGGACTGCAAGAAGGCCTTTGACACAGTTCCTCACAAGAGGTTACTGCAAAAGCTAGAGGATCAGGCACACATAACAGGAAAGGCACTGCAATGGATCAGAGAATATCTGACAGGGAGGCAACAACGAGTCATGGTACGCAACGAGGTGTCAGAGTGGGCGCCTGTGACAAGCGGGGTTCCACAGGGGTCAGTCCTAGGACCTGTGCTGTTCTTGGTATATGTGAACGACATAACAGAAGGGATAGACTCAGAAGTGTCCTTGTTTGCAGATGATGTGAAGTTAATGAGAAGAATCAAATCGGACGAGGATCAGGCAGGACTACAAAGAGACCTGGACAGGCTACAAGCCTGGTCCAGCAACTGGCTCCTTGAATTTAACCCTGCCAAATGCAAAGTCATAAAGATTGGGGAAGGGCAAGAAGACCGCAGACACAATATAGTTTAGATGGCCAAAGACTGCAAACCTCACTCAAGGAAAAAGATCTGGGGGTGAGTATAACACCGAGCATATCTCCTGAGGCGCACATCAATCAGATAACTGCTGCAGCATACGGGCGCCTGGCAAACTTACGGATAGCGTTCCGATACCTCAGTAAGGATTCGTTTAAGACTCTGTATACCATCTACGTCAGGCCCATACTGGAGTATGCAGCACCAGTTTGGAATCCACACCTAGTCAAGCACGTCAAGAAATTAGAGAAAGTGCAAAGGTTTGCAACAAGACTAGTCCCAGAGCTACGGGGATTGTCCTATGAAGAAAGGTTGAGGGAAATCGGCCTGACG